ATTCATTCATTCATTCATTCATTCATTCATTCATTCATTCATTCATTCATTCATTCATTCATTCATTCATTCATTCATGTTATTTTGAACTTTATGGAATATTCTCATTACAAATATGTAATATTACACACATGCATATAAGCTCTTTATTATTATAATTTATATTATTTAAGCTCAGAAGTGTTTCTGTCAAAATTTAACAAAATGTTAAATACAAAAATAGCACATAGTTAACATGTATTTTATTTCAAGTAATGAGAATAGTTTTTAATAGTTTTATTTATTTTATCTTTACAATTTACTTTTAGTTAATGATAACTTCACAATTTCATACATTATGGTTTATGTTGGTGGTTTTTGGAAAACGAAACATTTCTTGAAATCTTCATTTAAATAATTTACTGCTGTCAAGCTGTGTATGACATCACATGCCGTGCTGTGATATAACAGACTAATATAGTCAGACACTTTGACTGGCAAGCCTAATGACTGTGCTAGTACAGAATGACAGTAGTGTGCAGTTCCCTCGGGCACATGAATACATTTTAATTTCTCCAGTAGAGGGCAGCATCAGATCTCAGGAAATGACATGCGGCACACTGCAGCAAAGTCATTTGACCAGGATATCAAAACAAGATCAGTGCTAATCATCAAAAAAACACCTCCATTATGGTGACAAATCACACTATGAATGTGCAGCAGGGTTTTGCAGTCGGTGTGTTGTTGAGAGGACAAACATGTGCTCCAGCAGGACACTACAGAGACTGTGTGGGGACAGTAGGTAGTGGAGGTTGCCTGCTGTTTGCAGGGAAGGCAGATGGTACATGATTGCAGAAGTGAAAAACATAAACAGGGTGGGGGATGAAAATGAGGACAGAGAAGCTCAATAATACATGGAAACATATTCTCACATATTCTGGCTTTCCAACAGTCACGTTTTGGTATGCATGTGTGTTTACGTGTTGTTTATCACGCCTCTGACATTAAAGTGTTTGGATGAGTGTGACGCATCCCACTGCACATGCCCATCTCGATTATAAGTTGCCTCTCGTCAGACCACCTGAACATCGGGTACTGAAGAAAATAAACATCAAAGAGGATGCAAGAGCGATGAGTAACCCAGGATGAGAATAGATGCTCATTGTTTAATTTATTGTAATTGATTGCAGTTGTCTAGGGAGCAATAAAAAGGGAAAAACTCCTCTTTTGAATCTGCCAAGTGCAAAAGGGCTCATTTTGAGTCCAATGTATTTCACAATAGCACTTTCAGATATAGAGTGTCATGAATAATCATTTAAAGAGGCTTAGGTGCCTTCAGCACATAAACTATGGGGTACCAATTGTGCCAAAAAATGGTGTTGTTGCTTATGTTATTCTCTTTATTGTGTGTTCAGCTGTTTTATGCTTTATAAGTTCCTGCTCTCAATGAACATTCTGCAATGTGTTTTAGATATCATGGAAAACAATAGAACGTTTAGATTTTAATCACCATCTTGGTTTAAACCTAAGATGAAACCTAAGGACTACAGATTCATTCAAGTTTATAGACCGTATGCATCAGGGAAACAAGTTTGCAGCAATCTTGCAGTAGCTCTGTATAGTTCTATGAAATTGCTGTTGAAGTGTAATTGACCCTTCACAAGACCCGCCGCCCCCTTAGTTACTATTGCTATGTCTGGCAAGCCATGCCGCTCTCACAGTACAAATCATGTTCTCACGCAGTGAAAAATACATTGCAGAGCAAAGAGGATTGAGGTGTCAGCACTAACCTGAATGGATATTGATTTCTTACACTTTTCCCCAGCGCTGTCAGACTCATTTTCAGTGTGGAAACCTGCATAGGATATGTGACATTTCAGTCAGGATGGGATAGGCTGCATTGAATTTCACCTGTCCAGCCATGACATGTAAAGACAGCGTCTCAAAGGTTTGGCCGTCACTGTCTGTGGATCATATGCAGTCACTCCTAAACCCAAACTTAGATCTAAAATAACATGTCAGCTAGGCTGACTGGACTCAGAATTTTCAAACAGCTTTGCTGTGTTCACAGTACCCATGGGGTTTGTGACAGCAGCAGCGTGAATGAATTACTTTTAATGAGACCAGCTGTTATTTGGCCGTCTGGGCTGACCATTACTGAAACACTGCTTTGCTGATGCTAAACAACTGCAATTCTAATATCCTTTAAAGCACACAGGAAGCAACAGGAGTATAACTAGTAGTGTGTAGTGTAGCTGACATAACTAATCGAGTGTTGCAGAGTTTGTATGAATTTTTTTGTTGGCTAAAACCTGGAAATGAGTTAGCATTTGAGCACTTCAGGTTTCATCATTCTGGTTAAATGTCTGAAAAATGTCTGTTGTTAAAACAAGCTCAACATATTATTACGTTTTATTCTAGGACATTACTCATCCTGAAAAAGGCATTTGCTAACAAGTGGCTAAATGGGACTAGAAACGTTTATATAAATTAGCTGACAATTCGCCAAAATGTAAAATTGCTGAGAAAGAGCCTACAAGACAGTTGCTGAAAACAAATTGTTACCTCCTCTAATTGTTACCTTGTTACCTCCTCAGTTTAGCCTTTTTTAATTTTTCTTTTTTTTTTCCAGTGAAAACTAGCGGTGTAGCAAACATCACTAACCTACGGTGGCCCAGTAGTGCACAACACAATGGAAACAAGTTGCTACACAATGGAAACAAGTGAAATTGAACGTAAACACAATGAAATTATCGCAACACAATGGAATTAGTCTTATGCTTTTGTGTTGTCGCGATTTCATTGTTTTGTGCACTACTGGGCTGCCATACTAACCACATATACAGTAGTTATATCTACTGGATTAATGTTTATTTATAATGTCATGGCAGGACCTTATTCTATATGAACCACTAATATCATCAGGCAAAAAAAAAAAAGATTTCAAGAACTACTTCTGGTGGTTGGTCATCAATGCATTGACTAACTTTCACTAAAGTTTTTTTTTTAAGTTATATAAATGTTAGGACAAAACGTTCTTAAAGTAATGTTTATGGAACATTCTAACTTTTTAAATATTTTATATGCATTGTCATGAACTATGTTCTCAGAACATTCTCAGAATGTCCTTATGATGTTGTTTGTACTTGATGAACGTTCTAGGAAATAATTTTGTAACCTTTAAAGGGGTCATATGATGCTGCTAATAAATTTATTTTTATTATTAAAAAATACATATTTTGTGTATTTGTGGTAATGAAATGTGTTTATGCGGTTTAAGGTAAAAAAAACACATTATTTTCCACATACTGTACATTATTGTTTCTCCTCTATGCCCCGCCTTTCTGAAACGCGTCAATTTTTACAAAGCTCATCGGTCTGAAAAGCAAGGTGTGCTCTGATTGGCCAGCTATCCAGTGCATTGTGATTGGCTGAATACCTCAAGCGTGTGACGGAAATGTTACGCCCCTCACCATACTGTGATGCCTGTGGCAACCACATGTGACGACCCCGGGCTGTACTCCGCTTCGTCCACGGTGAAAGCCGATCCGGCGATCCACAGCGAAGTTGATGTATTTCCTCAGCGACCAGCACGGATCAGCTCCAGGCTTGACGAAGCAGATATCGTCCTCTTTTGGAAGACCAAACAAAGTAGTTGCGCTTTCACAACGAAGCACACAGCGTCTTCACGACATGGCGGCGGCAACAATACTACAGCGAGAATAAAAGTTACGCCTTCTTTCTTTGCGTGAACATTTGGGCGGCGTTATGCAAATCTTCCCACATAGTGAGGTAGACATGTGGGGGCGTGTTAGAACGAGCCGTTTTAGGTAGGTGTGGCTGACTCTTAACTTTTATAAAGAATATCTCTTTGGATTTGAGACTTTAGTCTTTGCAACTTTACAGATCTTCTTTATGCACCAAGAGCTTGTAACACTCCAAAGAGAAAGGAACAATTTAAATCGCATCATATGACCCCTTTAAATAACATCAAAATCACAAAAGAAACTTTTAATATCTTAGAATATTAAAAATATACATTCAAATAAAGTTATATTTGGGGTTAAACAAGTGGGAACGTTGTAAGGAATATTTTTGCAACCTTTAAGTACCGTTCTAATCACGACAAGAAAACTGGACAAAACGTTTTAGAACCATTTCAAAACAACGTTCCCACACCATTTTCATAACCTCACCTGGGTTCTTCTCTTATTTGAGAACGCGTGAATTATGGACGCTCCCTTACACTTTTAGAAAGATTTTACTGCTGTATCTGTATTTAAGCTTCATTAAAATCACAAAAGAAACTTTTAATATCTTAGAATATTAAAAATATACATTCAAATAAAGTTATATTTGGGGTTAAACAAGTGGGAACGTTGTAAGGAATATTTTTGCAACCTTTAAGTACCGTTCTAATCACGACAAGAAAACTGGACAAAACGTTTTAGAACCATTTCAAAACAACGTTCCCACACCATTTTCATAACCTCACCTGGGTTCTTCTCTTATTTGAGAACGCGTGAATTATGGACGCTCCCTTACACTTTTAGAAAGATTTTACTGCTGTATCTGTATTTAAGCTTAAACATAATTTACCATATCATATCAAATTGCTGAGAGACAGCAGAGACAACAATAGGCTACTGTTTAAATTGATGGACGAAATTCTTTAATAAAATGTAGCGAACAGTAGGAAATGATCAATACTATTGGTGCATTATTTCCTGGAGGTGCAAGCTTTGAAGAAGATTCCGTCCCGCACGTATCGAGTTACAGGCTATTTCATCTCCTCACAGAGCGTTCTTGCGTCCAAAAACAGCTCGACATAGTGTAAAAACGCTATTAAAGCTATACGTCTTTTAAAGGTGAGCTGTTTTTTAACTTCACAGAGCGTCTTAAAACGCAACGCGTTAGGAATAAAGAGCAGGACGCGACGTAACAGTCAAAGACGTCCGTCTGACGCATGTGCATGTGTCTAAGCAATTAAACATAGCGTAGACGGAACGCAACCGCACGTTCTGTGTGAACGCCCCCCAGAACGCGGGTCCTTCATCGAGCCACTGGAGGGTGTCCATCCGTCCTCTTACAGTACGTAACCATGACAACAGCCCCGGATGGTGGAGCGCGAGGGTAGCCAGGTGTTGGGTTGCGCAGAGGAAGAGACACCTACGCGATCGCTCCGTACTTTCCCATGCATCCTGCCTTCATCTTCTGCACGCGAGGATCTCTGTCGGGAACCACCATGGTGCATCACTCTGGATCCATACAGTCCTTCAAGCAGCAGAAGGGTCAGTGTGAGCGCTGCTTTTGCGGGGGTTTGCGTGTGAGAACGTGTTTTGGGGGAAAGAGCTGTAGCTCATGTCCCGGTTTGGAGATGCTTTCATGATATGCTCAACTTCACGATCAAGTGTTTGGCGCATATTGGTTTGCTACTGGATGCCACTGGAATATAAGATCGCTCTAATGAATAGATCACGAATCAAACAACTATTGCTTATTTGCGTTTAGATCTCACGGATTTGAATGATCGTGGCATAGGAGAAGTTTTCAAGGCTTTCAAAAACATCTCAATATATATATATATAGTTTTATTTACTATATGCATGTTTTATTTTATTTTATTTTTTCTTTTATGGTCTTTGCTTGATCCCATATTTAAATCTTTAAGCACAGCATTTCTATCAGCAGTCCTTAAAGATTTTCAACAACATCAAGCTCTAATGTAACTTCACTGGATTTATTTTCGAGGCTTTGATAACACATTTAAATATATCCTTATTGAATTCAAATGTTAGAAAACCTTAAAGGAATGCTAAAGGAATTTATATCATAATTTGGTACTAATGTGATCATACTGTAAACACTGGAATTTGTATTCCAAATACAAATATTCATTGTGTGTGTGTGTGTGTTTGTGTGTGTGTGTGTGTGTGTGCGTGTGTATATATATATATATATATACTTGTATTGGTAACAAATTACAGTAAGGTGCATTCGTTACAGTAACATTAGTTAACACAAACTAAGAATGAACAATACTTCTGCAGCATTTGTTAATCTTACTTAATGTTAATTTCAGCATGTACTAATGTATTATTAAAATCACAAGTTGTGTTTGCTAGCATTAGTTAATGCACTGTGAGCTAACATGAACAAACAATGCATGGCTGCATTTTAATTCACTAACACCAACAACTATTTAAAAATTGTGTAATAAATGTATTGTTCATTGCTCATTCATGTTAGTTAATAAATTAACAAATGACACCTTATTCTAAAATGTTACCATTTTATTTTATCGTATATATTCTAATTGTTTTAGTTCATTTGATTGTCTTTGCTCGATCCCATATTTAAACCTGTAAGCTCAGACATTCCATTAGCAGTCCTTAAAGATTTTCTGATCAGGTGTATCTCTCTGATATCTCTCTGTTTTTATATTAGAGCTACTCATCTGCGAAGTTCAACAAGAGCAAGCTCTAATGTAAATGTTTGGCATTTTGGGTTTTGCTTCGCACTGGATGTTGGTTCGCTCTTGTTGTTCTCATATCTGCAGTTTTGGTGATCAGCAACATGAACCATAGGAAAAAAAGACAAAGTTACTGGTAGATCTTGACTCAGGGTTATGGGAAAACACTTTCCATTGAGCTTCCTTCATCTTGTTTAATGGGGTCGCCACACACGCTAAGTGGTCATCTGCCTATTAAATCATACTGTGCTAAAAATCGCTGATTCTGACTGAACTGATGATTTGATTACGGTGAGATGGAAAAGAAAGAGCCAGTTTTGCAGGTTTTAGTAGCTGGCTATGGGATGAAAAGGACAGCAGTTTTGATATTAGAGGCATGTGTTACACTTTGTTTTGATAAAGTGCATTTGTTCCAGTATTTGTTCCAGTAACACAAACAGATATGATTACACTTCTCAGGACGTGGCCAGTGTAAATAAAAGCACTTGAGGAAATATCTCTATAAAATCTCATTACTAGTATTACAGCATGCTATTACGGAGATTGAACTGAGAGATTGAAATGGCTAAACGACTGCATTGTCACTTAGTAACTAGCAGTCTGTGTGTTTGAGCGTAGCTTATTCACAGCACTCCCATCTCATTAAGCAGATCTAGCCTATTTTTGCATCAATCTTCTGCAGTAGTTCAGCTTAGAGAACCAAAATCCATCCAGAACATTGCCTTGTTTCAGTCTCAGACGATACAAGAGTAAATATCACAACATAAATTGTGATTTTAACAATACGTATGATGATACATGTTTGTTTTATGGAAAATTAATTAATAATAATAGAATATACAACAACAATGATAATAATAATAATAATAATAACTGTTATTATTATTATTATTACTACTACTACTAATTGTATTATTATTATTATTACTACTGTTATTATTATTATTGTTAGTATCATTATTAGTAGTATTAGTAGTAGTAGCGTTCTGGATTTTTAAAAATTTTCTTTTAGTTTATTCAAATAATAATAATAAAAATAATAATAATGAAATTGTACTCAGGTTCAGCAATGTAGCCATAATACTAAATAAGGCGTTAAAGTTCTTGTTAACAATGTCTAATATAAATGTGGCCCTATCAACACATTTGAATAATAATAATAATAATAAACATGGACAATAATTTATCATAATAAATAATGATTAAAAATGTTATTATTACTGTTCTGGAATTTATTTTATTTTATAATTAAATATATAATTACATATAAAAGCAAGGATAATCCTGATATTGTGCAGTAGTTCCTGAGTTAATTCACTCAGCCTGATTACTTCGCTGCAGATTTGCTGATACCAAATTGCTATTGCCATTGGGAAAGCTTTACAGGGACAGTAATAGTAACTAAGGGGGGCAGAACCACACCTGTGAGGACACACTTCATTAACAAACCATTCCTCATTTTATCTCTGAAGGTCGTGATTAGAATGAATGGCTCCAGTGTGATGCCATTTCTTGTGCCACAGTAAATTACACAATTCCCCTTTAAGCATAATGACAGTTGCATGTATTTATAGTGCCACTTTGCATCCTCACTACCTAGACCCGACTCTGTCACGGTCATTAGCTATCGATCCAAGAGCGGATATACAGATTATTGCAGGCATTAGAAGCTCTTTAATGACTCACAGTTAATTATTTAGGACTCATGCAGCATGCCAGAACTGAGGTAAGGCCACCGAACACTGTTTTAGGTTTTCACTGGAGACTAGAGCACATTCATGTGCAATTTCAGGTTATTACAGTGAGCAGTCATTCAACAGATGCTTTTATTCAAAGTGACTTCCAGTACACTTATTACACTGCCAAGTCCCTCTGGAACAATGGCTCGCAATCCGTGAAGGTCTCTACAAAGCTAAACTGGGTTTCAGTTAATATGTGCAGTGCAGGGCTAGGAAAGGATCGAGCCGTTTGGGAAGCTGATAGCTTATGGCCCAGTTTTTTTGAGACAGAACTAGTGACCTTCCACTGTTATACAGCCTTATGAGAATAATATAAGAGTATATAGAGTGATAATATGGAAGTCGTAAGACTTTATTGGTACCAAAAATGGACTGGTAAGCTGCATTTGCACTTCAAGGTTAACTGCAGACAATATGGTATGATTTTTGTCCTGTATAATTACATGGGAATGTGTTTAGATTAGTGCTGTCAAACGATTAATCGCGATTAATCGCATCCAAAATAAAAGTTTTTGTTTACATAATGTATGTGTGCATACTGTGTATATTTATTATGTATGTATAAATACACACACATGCATGTATATATTTTGAAAATATTTACATGTATATATGTATATTCATATAATTGATATTATTTATACATATATTTAATAAATGAACATAACATATTTTTCTTAAATGTATACATGCATTTGTGTGTATTTATATATGCGTAAAAATATACACAGTAAACACACATATATTATGTAAACAAAAACTTTAATTTTGAATGTGATTAATCGCGATTAATCGGTTGACAGCACTAATTTAGATTAATGCACTGAAACACTGATCTAGGATACATTTCCTGTATAACAGCATAACTCACTGCTTAACTACCATCACCTAGATCAGGGGTGCCCAAACTCGGTCCTGGAGGGCCTGTGTCCTGCAGAGTTTAGCTCCAACTTGCCTCAACACACCTGCCGGGAAGTTTCTAGCATGCCTAGTAAGAGCTTGATTAGCTGGTTCAGGTGTGTTTGATTAGGGTTGGAGCTAAACTCTGCAGGACACCGGCCCTCCAGGACCGAGTTTGGACACCCCTGACCTAGATAGTCATGACTGTGTTCTGAATCATTAATCATTTTGTTGCGATACAGAATCAGAGTGGTTATTGATGTCAACATGCGTGGTTGAGTAATAACTTAAGCTAATTAACTAGTTTAAGATTGAATAAATGCCAAATTATTGCTGTAAATAATGAACATGGCACCTGAGATCTGAGGACTACTTAGCTATTTTGTTATCTGTTCTTATATTCAGATGTTTGATTTAACAGAGTATCTATTTACACTAAGGGCAATTAGCCCGCCTTGTTGGCAGAAGCTATTCACACTTAACTCCGTCCATTAGCGTGTGATTTGACTGGACCACATTACAAAAAACGGCCGTCGATTAATGACTTCAGTGGCGTAGATGATAAAACTCTGGACACATTTTTATGACGCGATCGACCCGAGTTTGAATATTCCTTTTTGCCGGACTTGCTCTTCTCCCTTTTCACATTTCTTATCACCACGGAAAGGCATGTGTTTTCCATTAAAATTAAGGTCGAAAAGTATTGTGTAGGGTTAGGGTAGGTGTAGGGAGGGCTTTATTGTCCCACTAAGGCAGCATCCATTTAATAATTCTAATAAAAATGATAATTTACACTCAATATGCTATTATTGCATACTGTTGTATAATGTACTACAGTACTGAGGCGCAGATATTTGCCCTATCTGGTCTCATGGCAAAAACGTACCCGGGGGCACTTTTTTGCGAGACAGGAAATACATACCAATACGTACATATCACCGCAGTTTCCAAAAGAAATGAACACTAGAGGCAGTATATCTCCGACACCTTTTATTCCTTGTCACACAAATTTACAGAGTTTCGATTAATAAAGCATAATTTTCACACAATTACTTGAAGAATGCTATGTTATGACTTCAAAACAATTTTAATATGCTGGGAGATTTGAAAACGGATGCTTTTGAATGTTAGCATCACACATATCCAGCTTCATATCTATGGGTTTTCATTGACGGTAGGT